AGCAGCAGGGCGCCCAAGTGCAGCTCGCCCCGCTCCGGGCTGTGGCCCTTGTGCTCCGCTTTGACGCGCACGGCCAGGCGGCGCACGTCGTCCTCCGAGAGCCCGTCCAAGCAGAAGTCCTGGTCCAAGACGGCCGTGCGGCTCCGCAGGACCATGGCGCCGCGGGGCTGGCGCGCCTTGCCCGGCGGTTGCAGCACAAAGCTGACGCGGCAGCCGACCGCGCAGGGCTCGGCGCTGCCTCCGGCCGGACCCTCGGCTCGGAGCAGCCGGATGCGCAGGCGCCCGCCTGCCGGACTGTACTGCGCGGCCAGGCGCAGGGCTCCACCAGCGCGGCCCAGAGTCACGGTGCCCTCGGCCTCCAGGGGCGGGCGCCGCGGGGCTGGGGGCGGCAGCCGAGCGAGCGCGAGGGCTAGAGGTGTCGCGGGAAGGGGCGCCTGGGCTAGAGGTCCTGGTCCCCCGACCTGACGTTACCTGTGTTCCGCCGCAGGTGCACCCCTCACTCGGCCGCCCCAGCGGCGACTTGGGGAGCCGGCGATGGTCTGGACCGAGCGACTAGGGGAGCTTCTGGGTCACCGGGAGGCGTAGGGCGGACTAATTGCTTGACAGAGAAATTCTTTGACCCCCTCACGACCTCACTGTATGTCCTCAGGTTGGCCTGCATCTGGTACCACAATCTGTCTTCACACCCAAGTCCCCATATTGCCTTGACTGTCTGCAAATGACCTCTCACCGCCTGTGAGACTGGAGATTATGGAAGGAATGTGTTACAGTCTGCAAGGAAGACCACGTCGAAGATCCAACGAGAGAGAGGGAGGGAGAGACAGAGAGAGAAAAAGACAGAGAGACAGAGCCAGGATGGTCCGTTTTCACTAACAATGTCATTCGGGTGTGTTTATCTCCAGGAACCACAGACTGAAGGAAGGCAGAGACCAAACATGTTTTCCTCCTAGGAGACTTGACTCACCTTACTCAGTGTCAAACATGTATTTTCTCAATCCTTGTCATTGGAATCGGTTTCCAACCTCCCCCTGGTCTTTCCCTCTCACCTGCACAAACGCCATGGAATTTCCATGGTATTTGTTGAACTCTTTTTCTATATTCCTCAGGGAGTGCCTTTCTCACTTAATAGTAGGAAACTCCTATTTTCCCCCCTCTCATATACCTCAGGCTAAACAATCCATTGGTTCAATGCTTTATGTCAAAAATCTGATTGTAATTCAAAAATAGTCTCAGGCAATAATCTTTCTTCACGTTCTATAGTCTTAAGTCCATTCAACAACCCTTTCTAATTTAAACATTGTTTGAGTGAGACCTTAGAGACCATTTATTTCTGCCATATTCTTAAATTCTAGCTAAAACATTTATGTTAGACATTGCATGTTTACTCGAACACTTTAAACTTCATTTATGAAGTCTTCTCCACTTTTGAAGAACTATAATGGTCCCAGGCATCTTCTTTATTTGAGGCTGAAACCCCACTGACCCCAGTTCTGCCTTTGACATTACCTTACATCCTCCTATTCTTGCACAAGACAACACTCACATATTAAAAGACACTTCTTTATATTTCTCTCTCTTTTTTTAAAGATTGTTTATTTTATGCATACAGAACTGGAGTACAGGCCAGAGGAGCATGAGTGATAAAAGGATTCACCAGAGACAGAGTGGGGAGTAGAATAGCAGATCAATAGCAGCACAGTGCTGAAGGGAGCAACAGGCAAAAAAGGAAAGGTCTGCTGCTCCATGTGGGTCACCACCACCTGACCAGGACCCAACATGTGTTGAAGTGGCTGCAGCTAGCTTCCTAGTGCTGTGCCTCAACCCGTTTTGCCACCAGGAAGGCCCTAGAAGATATTTCTGATACATATTTATGCTGCCCAACAATTCTTCCCACACTCTGAGCACAAACTTTCAGAAAATAACTAGTGATTTGATTTCTAAGTCATTTCAACATTCTGATCATCTTCCTTTTGATAATACCAGTTCGCCTGTAGCCCTTTTAAATCATGGCCTTCAGAAGAGAAATGATTCTTACTGTGTGGTCTGACCAGCACAGACTACAACAGAACCCTTGTTACAGATGCTGGGTTTCTATAACATCATCCAAGATTGTATTCACTTTTTTTGGTGGTCCAATGCCAAGGCTCAGGCCACAGTCTTCTTGCCAGAAAACCTGTCCCAGTTTTCAGGAAATAAGGGTTTCCAGGTCTATCTGAGGATTCTGGCTTGGTGTTCTAAATGAACCCAGAGAAGATGTGATCTTTCTTCTCTCCCCTCTCTCAAAGGCAATGTGAATTTACCTGGATGGCATGGCACTTCTCAGCTGCAGAAGTGAGGAATCTTAAGTGAAAGATAGCTTTCACACTGACATTAAAGAATGGGACCAACAGTTCAATAACAAACCTTTAATATTCTACTAGGTTCTCCTTCTGAAATAAAAGTCTCAGAGGGGCTCAGGTTACCCTATGGGTATTAGCTTATATCAGAAATCACCTGATGGGGTCTTCAGACCAGGAATTCCCTCCAATGTTACATATGAAAGTTGCCCCTGAACTTTTGCAGGCTGAAATAAAGGACTTTGTTCCCCCATTATCCCAACATTAAGCCTCTCTCCACCTCCAGCTGACCTTTAACTATCAATAGTAATCATACCTATGTCTTGCCAGAGCTTGAATGCTTTATCGCCACCCAATATCCTAAATCCAACTGTGAACATAGTGCTGTGTAACTTTCTGTGTTCATGCCAGCGCAGCAGCCAATTAAAACCTGAACTTTTCCCCTATAAATTGGTATTAGTCATGTCTTTCCATACTGAGATTGGACTGCTGGGTGTTTTTTTTTTTTTTAAATCTAATTTTATAGTTATCCCTATTAGATGTTATCTGTTTCATTCCAACTTGTCAAATTTGGATTCTGTCATCTTGTGCATTATTTATTACCTCTAGTTTGTGTCATCTGAAATTCGATAAGCTTGCCTTCTGTCTCCTCTAAGCAGTTGTCAAAAAGTGTTAGAATGTATATATTGATGACAAGAATAATAAAAACACCCACTCCACTAAATTTTGGCTTACATGCCTTCCTGCATGTGCAATGAAAGACTGTTTTTAGGAAAATGGACTTAAATAGACTTTGTTGAAACTAATAAATTTATAAATTTGTTCTCCCACATTTATTTCCTGAAAACCCCCAGAACACACCATATTATATACTTTAGAGTCACACAGGAAATATAAAAATATGTTCTTTAACTTTGAAGAATCCCATATGAAATACAAGACATCACAAATTGGAGCTATGATAAGGGCAGAGGACCGGTGTAGCAATAATGTTCCAATGCAAGTTCAGGGGAAGAGATACCCCAGTGGCTAATGGGAGTAGGGTAAAACTACTTCAAGATGACTGGACTTGATTTAGATATTGAATTATTTATTGGATGTGAATAATAAGGAGAGAATGAGACTTCTAAGGAAAATTATATGCAAAATATGTTCAAAGAGTAATAAATAGATCAGCTCAATGCATTATATGATCACTAGAGTAACAATAGCTGCTCTGATAAAATGACCCCAACACATAATGGCTGATGGAAGTTTGTCTCTTGTTCACTTAAATTCTAATACAGATATTCATGACTGATTCCTGATTCATCTCCAAGCAACATGCAGGGATCAGCTGTTTTTTCCACTTCATTTCCCTAATGTGTCAAAATTTAGCATCCAGGTGTGCCAAGCCTATGTCCCTGAAGCTAAAAGAAAGGGAAAGAACATATAGCATCAGACATGTTGGCTTAAAGGGCCAGATGAGGAAGAAATGTTGATCACTTCTACACACTCCTCGGCTAGGCCTCACACACAACTACAACTACTTCAAGCTTTGGAGTCAGAAAGAAAAAGCAGGGGGGCCTCCTTGGGTGGCACAATGGGTTAAGTCTCAGTGCTATCAAGCCATCACCAGCCCCTTTGGCTTGAGTTCCAGCCCTGGTCAGGGAGCTGACCCAGATGACACAACGACCTGTCCTGTCTTACCTGCTGCTCCTCTCAACACTGTTGGAGGGTAAATAGAAGTGATCAGGCTTTTTCCACTCTCCTGCCATTAGTTCTAATGATCAACACCTGTGGTCTTACAGGCGTGCCTGATGGCAGCACCTGGAGTGTGGTGTGGGCGTGAGTGAGTGGGTTCAGCTGAGCCGAGAGACTGCGCATGAAGCGCAGCAGGAGCAGTGTGACAGAGAACAGTAGAGACCAGTGAAAAGACCACAAGAGAACACCACAGAGCCAAGAAAAATTACAGATTCACTGGGGGCTGAGAGGTCTACTGCCTGCCCTGTACCTGGCTGCCACACTACAACTTGTATAGAAAGATCATTAAAAGCCTGAAAAAGCCACTGAGGGTCCCTGGACTCGTTTGTCTGGATCCCTGGGGAACACGCTCTGTGCCTTGCTGGCACTTCAAGTATATTTCAGTAGATCTCCTATGCTGCTTTCCACTCTGTCTCTGGTGAATCCTCTCATCCCCCACACCTCTGGCCTACACCCCAGTTTTTATATGTATAAATGAATAAAAATATATCTTTTAAAAAGATAATGAAAAATGCTTAGAAACATGCTTAAGATAGTATTTCATGCCTAATAAGTACTCAAAAAATATATCTAGTGACATCTTTTTTTTTTTTAAGTTTTTTTATTCACATAGAACTGGGGTACAGGCCAGAGATGCAGAGGGTGAGAGGAGTCACCAGAGACAGAGTGGGGAGCAGAACAGGCAGATCGACAAAGTACACTGCTGAGGGGAGCAGCAGGCGGGTCAGGAGAGGTCTGCCAAGCCATGTGGACTCCTCCGGGGCAGGCAGGAATCGAACTCATGCGGAGGTGGCTTAAGTGTCTCAGTGCAGTGCT